AAAATTGGTTGACGATGTCCTTCAGCCACACAAGTAGGATGGAAATTCCCTTTAGGATCCCAGCCTGTGAACAAGAATAAAACAACAATTCCATCTTTTAGTTCTTTTTAAAACACAGAAAGGTTTTATTTACCTGAAACGTTTCGTTTGCGGCTGCAAACTTCGTCAGCCTGACCCGTACAGCAGTAATTTCCTGCGTATATGGCAAGACTTCTCATGAACAAATTTACCTTTCTTCAAAAGGATCTAAATCTTGGTCATCAGCTAAGGCCTCAACACCAGCCATTAGAAAATCTTCCCTGTAAAGATAATGTCAGAAGTGTTTGGTGGTGTGATGTTAGTTCTGAACCAAGTGTGGATATGCAAGGTGTAATTTAATGTATGAAATATCATAGCACAAAAACGTGAATATTTGTTTTACAGAAAAGATACTAACCCCTCAGACACAGGTTCAGTTGGAGATAATCGATGCCACATTTTAGCTGCTGTTCTCCCTGAATTGCAGTTTCAGGAGCCTGCTTCTTCCGGTAGCTGGAAAACACATTTTTAAACAAAAATGTCAACAAGTTGGTTGAGACTCTACGCCTTCTGTTTACATAGATCAATAATGGCTAAGCTTCTTTACCTGTGGCACAACTAGTAATATGAAAATGCATGTCAGTCATAAAAAAAATTATTTATCATTTTCACAAACATATTTTATTCTGACCTACATTCAACTGGACAAATTTAGAAAAATAAACACAAACTTCTGCACAACTTTACTTTTAGTCAAACGTGTTGTTATGGCTGACTCATTATATACTCTTTTGTAGCACAGCAATAGCGCTAGGGTAAGATATTCCAATGGGGTTCTGTTACACAAACCCCACGAATAACATTATCTACTGAAGTAACAGTCCTGCTCAGAGGTTGGACTGTAGATCAAATATGACATAATTCTAAATACTCATCTTTGCTTTGGAAAATGTCCGTTCTCTTCTGTGGTACATACAAACTGAAGCGTGATCACAGCTAAAATGCTACCGCACGCTAGCTCTCTCCGACTGATCGGTGACGTCATATAATCAAATCAAGCTATGTTTACTTTTCTCGTCAGAATAAATGGAGCATCCATTTATCTCCAAACACATGCGGTGTGTCGTCCACAAAACGTAGAAGTGATCCGATTACTCCTTAGTTGCTTTTAGCTTTTTTAAACTGATCAGGAAGCCATATGCTAAACACCGTTAGCTTAGATAAGTTTCTTGTTTTTTGTTCATCTGCACAAAGATTTGTTAGATTACCTAAATCAGTATTATTTAAATCCATAGGTTTTATTTTCTTTTCTTAAATATGAAGATACAGCTCTGATATGTTTACCTATTCCTTACTGAAACCTACAGCAGACATAAGGAGACCAGCTAATACAACACTTACCTGGTCACTAGAAAATGAGCCATGTCCGCATCCTTTTTCAGACCCAAATTGAGTTGAAGCAGCCTCATTCTTCCAAGCGTACCCAATACATATTCGGGTCCCTGACCGACTTTTATCATATTTTCTTTTTGACTCTCGAGATGCCGCTGATAAAACCTTCTTCTTTGTGCCACTCTTTAGTGGGCTTTGAGTTGCGCTTGGTCGTTTGCTAGTTGTAGAATCCATTTCCAAGGTTCTTCCTCTTCAGTTTGAGGTTTTAACGTGGCTAGTAGTGAAAGACGTGTTACCGCCACCTAGCAAGCTTCTAAATGTTTTTTCCGGTTTTGAAGCTTGTCGAGAACGCGCTTGAAGCATCAATTAACGTCACATCCGTAAAACTGCGCGGGAAATTCGGATCCGAAGGGTTTTACATTTTGCAGCACACAGCCTGTTTAACAAAATGGAATGATAAACTGGTTTCATCATTCTTTTTAGTTTAAAATGCTTCATCACCCATAAGCTTCACAAGAATGAACATGTATCCTATTTACTTGCCCCATGCTCCTTTAATTCTAGTGTCACATGCTTGTCAGGATGACGTTTGGTATTTAAGGTATTGGCCCAAACAGCAGCACAAATCAAGGAAAGATGGACATCACTGGAAGCTTCTTTTCATTTTATTCTACAACAGTGATACCAACCCAGAACAATAGGGAGACCGACAATTTATACAGGTGACCTAAATTGGGAGAACCCATTCAAAGGGGAAAAACAATACAACCTCTAAAGGGAAAACAAAAACCTATTTACATAAAAGAACTAACAAATACATTCATAAACTGAACAAACAAGGTTAACTTATTTAATCACAATAATCACTGCAAATTCAAGCACAATGCCTCACAACTTCTCCACAACCCACTTATTGTTGGTACAGTCCCAGAACCATATGAGTGTGCACAAACCCCCGGGGAAGATTTTGTCTGCGCACACCTTCATGGAGACAACATGGGTAAGGTAAATGTTATGCAAAAGAAAAAGATTAACTATTGTTTGCCCATTTATCAACAATGAACTATTTGCCTTTACAGATACCCAAAAGTAAAAAGAATCTGCAAACCAAAACAATACTCAGCCAAAATAAACTTCATTTAAAACCGTGTTGCTGCGTACCAATTTTATCAATGTTTTAATTACTTCAACAATAAACATAATTAAACATAAATGTAACAGTGTCTCATTGTTACATCTCCTCCCCCATCACCCAAGAATACCAAACCTCAAGTTTCATGCAACCTGGAAAGGCAGTCAGCCACCAGGTTGGCCTTTTGTTTATATTTGAATGGATATTTATTAATCACATTTATTAAGTTATCATTACTTTGTTTACCTAGCTCTAATGTGATGACTTAAATTAGCACCTCATTGGCTCCCCGTGTGTTTCAGGATCGATTTCAAAATACTTTTAACGGTTTTTAAGTGTCTTAATGGTCTTGGGCTTTCTTATCTTTCAGAACTGCTTTTACCATATGAACCCATGCGGTCTCTACGCTCCTCTGGCAGCCGTCTCCTTGTCATCCCTAGTCAGGACACATATTCACGGCAAGGCGTCCTTCAAGTACTATGGTCCTCACCTCTGGAACGAGCTGCCAGGAGACCTCAGGGCTGCTAAGAATGCTCATGTTTTTAGCAACAGGCTCAAGACCCATCTTTTTAGCTTAGCATTTAACTGATTACTATCTCTTTTTAAATAAACAAATTAGTTAATTAGGTTATTTATTTATCTAGTTATTTGTTTATTTTATGTATTCTTTCTTTATACGTGCTATTTTTAAACAGTTTTTTACCTTGATTTATGATCAACATTATTTTAATATCTATAAAGTTTTATATTACAATTCTCATTTTAGCTCTTTGGATTTTATATTTTAACCTTAATTTAACCTTTTTCCAGTGCTTCCTCTGTGGGAGCCCTGTGCCCCGGGGGCGATGGTCTGCTGTGGTGGCCTGGGTGCTTTCCATGTGTGCCTGGGTAGCGGTGGGGGTCTCTGCCCTCCCTGCCCTGGGCACCCGGTGTCAGTGCCTCGGCGGCTGCTGTGGATCTGCTGTTGCCGGGGTGGATGGCTCCCCTGATGGCGTTTCCTTATCCTTATCTTAGCTGGTCTGGCTTATCTGAGCTCAGCCAATCGTGTTTTTTATACCATGTGGAAGGGGGCGTGTGTGTGTGTGTGTGTGTGTGTGTGTGTGTGTGTGTGTGTGTGTGTGTGTGTGTGTGTGTGTGTGTGTGTGTGTGTGTGTGTGTGTGTGTCGGTGTGTTGTGAAGGGGTTTTTATTGTCAGACTGTTTTTAAAATTCTGGGGATGGGAGGGAATGTGGGTATGTGGGGCCTTTTTAATTTGTTAAGCACTTTGAGTTGCATGTATTGTAGGATTAAGTGCTATATAAATAAAGTTGATTGATTGATTGAGCACCTCACTGTTAAAAGCTCATTTTAAATTCAAGTGTGTGTTTAATATTTATGGACATGAACAAAAACAGGAAATATATAACATTTAATTGATAAAACAAATATCAATAACTGTTTAGAGGAGGAAGGAATCATTCAAAGACACATTCTTCTGGAAGCTGACACCAGAGGACCACCTATGACCCAAAGATTAGCTGGTACCAGTAAATAAAGAATGAAATCAGGGCAGTTTTATTGGGATGTTTGTGATTGTGTAACATAAATGAACACATTACAGAATAACTTTCTCTTGGGGTATTTTTATAACTTTCTCTGCAACAGACAGTAAGTTTAGCTTAGGGTAGGTGGTCGTGTCCTAGAGAGCTGCTATACAGCACGTTCCAGTGTTTTTTCTGCTTTAACATGTTAGATTAGCTGTTCAGCAGCTCAGCTATTTGCTGCTGATTAAAACCAGGTGTGTTGAAGTGGGGAAACCTCTAAAACCTGCTGGATAACAGCTCTCTAGGACCCGGGTGTCTAGCCCTGCAGCTAATCTAATGCTATGGCTACTGGCTGTTTACCAAATAGAGCTGGGCCTGCTGGGTCGGCTTTGGTGGTTTCAGGCAACTCACGCTCAAAACATTAAGGCTCAGGTCCACTCGTCTCCTCCAAAGGGCCTTTCCTCTTTTCCCTCTGGGTAAGGAGATGGAGAAACGTCTTCCACTACAAATGACTGCGCAGAGTCATAAAAGCTAGCGTTGTCTTTCTAGCCATGTGTCTTTGCCACTAACGCAGTTCTGACCTCTCTGTCAGCCAGGCAACGCCTACTAGTGGTGCATCTTTTAAAATGAAATGTGGGTGGAGTAAGACTCTGAGGCAGGCTTGACAACCACTTTAAACTGTGACAATGACGGTTAAAGTGAAACTAACAGATTTTAAAGCTCTTGGTATCTGTGAGCCTGCCACTGATGAAAGTGCTTTACTGGCCCAGTTGGAGCACTGCCAATGTAGAACGGTAGACCATAGATGAACAATGGAGACAGAGCCGATCTAGCGTTCTGGTGCTGATCAATGATCAATGACCTATAATATTGGTACATACGTTATTCCACTTACACTGTTTTGGACTTGTTATTCTATTCTGTCATTTTTGCAGAAACTCTAGATGACTTTTATCTTGCACCTGAGTATCAAGAACATGGGATTGTAACGGAGAAGGTGTGTCCGACCAAACTGCTCCCAAATGAGCTAATTTTTACTTCCATCTGTAGTTTTATCTTCACCTTCTCTTCTTTCTGCCTGCTCAGGTGTGTGTTTACGGGGTAGCTGCTATCCTCTGGACCACAGCCAAGTTTGATCTATCTCCCAATCAAAAACTGGCATTACCTCGCAAAATGAAGAGGCTTCTCCTGGAGATGGCTAAGAAGACACCCATAGAGAGACCGACCATCGTAATGGCTAAAAAAGTATAGTTGGGATTCATATTTTGATATTGAATTGGAGCCAGGTCTAGATATAGATCATTAGGTTTACCGTGAATGTGTCATAACATGGTTTTACACATGCACAAGTTTGCTGATCCCACTCATATAATTATCTGTCAGCTTGTCCGTCTAGCTATCTAGACAAATACATCCATGCAGACATGGATATCTAGGTTTATATATCTATGTTTACATCACCTTTAGTTAATGTATTTAGTCATGGATACCTGCTCCTCACCAGCAATTTTTATTCACTAGGTTAACAGATTTTAAACAAATGATCTATTTTAAATTATTTTTACATTTGTCTTAAGTGACCTGGGTCGTTATGCTAATTGTTTCCAGAGCTGTCTTGACAATCTGTCACATCAGGGAATGAGTGCTGAGCTTGTCTGGACTGACCTCATCAGCAGAATTCACCCGGTAACCATTCCTGCTCACTTACATTCACACGGTTGGGTTTTAATTAGTCTGTAGGTTCCAGACTAGAACAGGATTTTCTTTAACGCATTTAGAAAGTAAATCGGTTCTTCACCAGTTACTTTTGTTTTTCTCAGCCAGCCTTGAACTCCAGTGAGGTTGAAGATTGTAGCACAACTGAAGTTCACCTCTGTCCGTGTGAAGAACATGCACCAAACAGCGGTAAGACGACCTTATTATCAGTAACCAACAATATCTCTAATACTTCTATTGATGACCATTGTTACAAGCCATCTTCCAAGGCTAGCCTAACTCTTTAACAGATGTTACGTCTCAGGGTTGACTTGTATTTCAATATTGTATTGTATTTGTGCGTGGGTGTGATATTCAGCCGCTCTTTAAACTGCCTGCACACTGTAGGAGCTAATTAGCAGTCACCAATAACCTAGACTGATTCTGGCAAAACCAACTTTATGCAGCTTAAGGGAGACTCAGTTTACTCACAGTCCATGTCCATGAAGCTTATGTACACTTCAGGTTAAGACCCTTGCCAGCTGTTCCTTTTATGCTGAGGAGACAACTGACATCACCTGTAGCCTAGGATGGAGGAAACACTTATATCAATACCTCGGGATGGCATTTACAACCAGCATCTCACCTTTGCTCAGTTACCGACAGGAGGAGACCCCACTCGTAAATCCTTTTTTCGTTCCACGAATCCGAGGAACTAGGTTTTATTTCACACAGATGAAAAAAGTATAATAATCCAAACTAAACCCCAACAAAGCAGGTTAAAAAGTAAAACAACTCTTTGGCAATAAACCGAGTTATAGCAAAGTTGAGCTGAATAAGCTCTCCAAAAATGGCACTAGGTCAGATTATCACAGACAAAAAGCTCAAAGCAAAAGCTTCCTTCTTTCCATCTCTGTACCTGTCAGGTTCGATTGGCTGAGCTTAAGTGTAGCGGAGGTTGCTTGTAGTGTAACTGCGTGACCCAGACGCGGAGTGGCTAGCGTTGGGTTAAACAGAGCATGCAGCTTTGATCTGGTAACGGCGGCGTTGCGCTCGGAAAGAGCCTAGACTGAGCAGCAGTTCCGAATAAATAAGGAAGCTGACTTACTGGTGGTAGACAGTGTGGAAAGATCCCTTTCCTGGTTTGAAGGCTGGTAAGCCTGAGAACTCGGGTCGATGTCTGGTATGAACGATGACTGAGTGATGAATGAGCGGTGGCACTTCCGTAAATAGAGTCGGCGTGATGACGTTGACGAGCCACGCTGTTGATGGGAATGCTGGGAAGTGTAGTAGTTTGCCAGTTGGGTCCGTAGGGGGTGGTCAGGAGGAGGAGTTCGTGACAGGACTCCACCCGCGAGGGACGGCTCCCGAAGTCCCAGGACGGCGGGCCCAGAGATCAGTCAGCAGGGCCGGGTCGAGAAATGAGCGAGCGGGTTCCCAAGAACGCTCCTCCGGACCATAACCCTCCCAGTCCACCAGGTACTGCCAACCACTTCCCCGGCGGCGGGCATCCAGAATCCTGCGTAAACACGATCCTCATCCACACAGCGGGGCGGAGGCACCCGGGCCGGAGGAGGGTGGAGAGGAGAGGAGACCACCGGCTTAAGCTGGGAGACATGGAAGACTGGGTGAATCCTGAGAGTGGCTGGAAGGCGCAGCCGGTAAGTGACCGGATTGATGACCCTAAGGACAGGGAAGGGACCCAGGAAGCGGGGAGCGAGCTTCCGGGAGCCCGCCGGCATCTTCGGATTGGTGGAAGAGAGCCACGCCTGGTCGCCAGGCCGGAAGACGGGGCCAGGCCGGTGGCGGCGGTGATGCTGACGGGAGTACTCCGTGTTGGTCCGGGTGATGGCCACACGGGCCTGGATCCAGGCGAGCCAACAGCGGCTGACCAGAGTCTGAGCAGCAGGAACCTCCACCTCAGATACCTGGTGGCTGAACAGAGGGCGCTGGTACCCATAACATGTCTCGAAGGGATACAGGCCCGTGGCAGAGGAGGTCTGGAGGTTGTGGGACAGTTCCGCTCACAGGAGGTATCGGGGCCAGGTGGATGGCTGGGACGAGGCAAAGCAGCGTAAGTAACGTCCAAGCTGCTGGTTGGCTCTTTCCGTCTGATCGTTAGTCTGCGGATGGTACCCGGAGGATAGACTGGTTGAAGCACCGACCAGACAACAGAAGGCCCTCCAGAAGCGCAAGATGAACTGGGGTCCTCGGTCGGATACCACGTCCTGGGGGAAACCATGGAGCCGCACCACCTGTTCAAGGAGCAGTTTGGCCGTTCTCTTGGCAGTGGGGAGTACAGCCAGGGCCACTAGATGCACGGCCTTTGAGAACCGGTAAGTGATGGTGAGGATAGTGTCCAGGTGATCGACAGCAGGCAGTCCCGTGACAAAATCCAGACTGATGTGCGACCACGCCCGCTTGGGCATGGGGAGCGGTTGCAAGTCCCCGGCGCCAGGTTGGTTGGAGGACTTGGACCGAGCACATACATCACATGCAGCAGTGAACTTGCGTACGTCCTTCCTCATAGAAGGCCACCATATAGCCTGGCGGAGGAACTGGAGGGTGCGGGCTTGACCTCGATGTCCAGCGAGCCGTGAACAATGCCCCCACATCAGTGCCTCCCGTCGGCAGGCGGTCGGAACGTAGAGGCGGTTCCGGGGAGTCTCTGGGGGTGCCAGATCAGCAGGGAGAGCAGCCCGGATGGATTGCTCCAGAGGCCATTGGAGGGAGGCCAAGAAGCGTTGGGATGGCAGGATGGTCAGAGGCTCCGGAGGGCTTGTATCCTGTGAGAAACGCAGAGAGAGAGCGTCCGCCTTGAGGTTCTTGGAGCCGGGTCGGTAGGCGATGTGGAAATTGTAAGGCTCGAAAAAGAGGGTCCACCGAGCCTGGCGAGGATTGAGTTGACGGGCAGTCTGAAGGTGTATTAGGTTCTGATGGTCCGTCCAGATGAGGAAAGGGTCAGTGGTACCCAAGAGACACTGCCGCCACTCCTCCAGAGCCCATTTTATCGCCAGCAGTTCTCGGTCGCCGACCCCATAGTTCTGCTGTGTAGGGGAGAACCTCCTGGAAAAGTAAGTGCAGGGGTGGAGTTTGGAGTCCGACCCTCGTTGCGAGAGGACAGCTCCCGCTCCCACCTCGGAGGCATCCACTTCCACGATGAAGGGCCGGGTCAGATCCGGGTGGAGGAGGATGGGTCCACTCACAAAGCGATGGACCAGATCATGGAAGGCACGGGTAGCCTTCGGGGTAAGACGGAAAGGGCGAGGCTGGTTGGTAGCTGTGGTAAGGGAGGTTAGAGGTGCTGCGAGGGAACTGAAGTTGCGTATGAACCTGCGGTAGAAAATTGAGAATCCCAGAAAACTGCACCTGTTTCAGGGTGGTGGGTAGTGGCCACTATGCCACTGCCTGAACCTTCTGGGGATCCATCCTCAGGCCCCGGGAGGAGATGGTAAAACCCAGGAAGGAGGTGGACTCCTGGTGAAAGGCACACTTTTCCAGTTTGCAATATAGATTGTGGTCCAGGTGACGGGACAGAACGGCCCGAACATGCCGGATGTGTTCTTCGGCCGTGTGAGAGTATATGAGTATGTCATCCAGATATACGAAAACCCAGTGGCTCAACATGTCTCTCAGTACATCTGTGATGAATCGTTGGAAAACCACGGGGCTATTGCAGAGGCCAAAAGGCATAACTAGGTACTCATAGTGGCCGGTTGCTGTGATGAAGGCGGTCTTCCACTCCTCCCCCTCCTTGATGCAGATCAGGTTATAAGCACTGCGCAGGTCCAGTATGGATGACGAGGGCAGCTTGGGTGATGGCGTCCAGAGCGGTACCCATGAGAGGAAGAGGGTGACTATCCTGGATCATTATCTTATTCAACCCCCGGTAGTCAATACAGGGCCGGAGACCCCCCTCCTTCTTCTTCACAAAAAAAAAAACCCTGCAGCACCGGGGGATGTGGAGTGGCGGATGAACCCCTTCTGGAGGGCCTCGGTTATGTAGGAGTCCATTGCCCGGGTCTCCGCCGGGGAGGGAGAGTATAGACGAGCCCGGGGCGGGGTGGTACCGGGCTGGAGCCTAATCTCCAGGTCATAAGGCCGATGAGGGGGTAATCTGGTAGTGGGTTCCTTGGCAAAGACCTGAGCGAGGTCGTGGTACTGTGGAGGAATGAGTGTCAGGTCTACATCCCTGGGAGGTGTTTATCGAGTCCGGGGTGCAGGGGAACTACAGTGGGACTGGCAATCCACGCCCCAGGCCATGACCTTACTGGTGGACCAGGATATGTGAGGCTCATGGCGGCAGAACCAGGAGTGACCCAGGATGGGGGAGTAGCCGGGGCCTGAATGACCAGGAAGTGAAGGGTCTCCAGGTGTTGATTGATGGTCATGTGGAGGTCTTGGGTTTGGTGGGTGAGAGGATATGACATGAGCAGACGGCCGTCCACTGATGTGACAGGAATGGGTTGGTCTAGAGTGGTAAGGGGTATCTTGAGCTGGGTGACCAGTCCCTGGTCGATGAAACATTCAGCGGCGCCGGTGTCGAGAAGCGCCTCCAGTCGGGCCGGACCTTGGTCCAGTAGGAGGGAGACCGGGAGGGTGGTGCGATGTGGGACTGGAAAAGTGGAGACTCCGGGCGGGACAGCCCCTACTCCGACCCGGAGGGACTGTTTTCCGGTCGTCTTGGGCACGTGCCACGGTGGTGGCCCAAATCCCCACAGTAGGTGCATCGTCCTTCCTGGTAACGCCGCACCCATTCCTCAGAGGGAAGATGTCCCAGCTGCATGGGTTCCTCCGTCGGTTGGCTGCCCTGTCAACGGGGTGACATTCTGTTGTGAACGGGAGCCGACATGGCGCTCGGTCGGTTAAGGATGCAGCGGTCCAATTAGAGGGCCAGGCCCACCGCCAGGTCCAGGGAGGTTGGGGCCTCATGTCCGATCATGCCCTCACGTATTCGGGGGGACAACCCCCCCAGGTAAACGGCCTTCAGGGCAGCGTCGTCCCAAGTCAACCGAGCAGCCGTGGTCCGGAAGCTGGAGGTGTAATGGGCCACCGTCTGGAAGCGCTGACGGAGTTGAAGCAGTCGGGTCTCATCCGCGACCTCGCTGCTGGGATGAACAAACGCCTTCTTCATCTCCTTCACAAAGGTCTCATAACTGTTGCAGACAGGAGACTTCTGGTTATAAAGAGCCGCCACCCATTCACCGGCC